ACTTTGAGGCGTTTCAAAGCGCTTCACAGAATATACTACAAAGTGAATTGACTATATTTGTGGGCGAAACGCGGCAGCCAATTAAGCACAGCAGTGTCCCACAAGCAGTCGTGGATTAAGTGCTCAAATTATTATTATTATTATGTTTATTACCTGTGGAAAAGTGATCAGCCAATCGACTAACAACCAGGTTCCTACTTACTGCTAGGTAAACAGTGGCACGTGGAGTAAAGAAATGTGCCTAACGTTTCACCCTGCCTGGGAAATCGAACCCAAGTCCTCTCGCTTGTGAAGTGAGTGTTCTAACCAATATGCTACAGGACTCAATATTCTTCAGAAACTCTGCAATCTGTGCTTTGATTGCCCTAAATTCCTAACAAACCAGAGACAGCACAAATCATCAGCCTGCTGATAGGAATCTCTTTAGTTATGGAACTCAAGCTACGCTAAGGTTTGCAAGCATTACAATTTAAAACAGAAGAGTGGCGTGAAACATCCAGATAAAATCTGATCTTTGGACACAACTTTGATACGCCGCTTCCTGTCAATCACCAGATAAACTTTATAAAAGGTTAATTCACTCCTTAACTACATTAGAGTTACTGGTAATGTTCATGGTTCTGCTGAGTCTTTTTATATGCATTTGTTACTAGTAAAATTACTTTAATTTTTATTATTCAATTAACACCCAGGAATAAATCAAGATCATTAACAGAGAAATAACAAAGTATTAAGGCACTAAATATATTTTTGAGGACATATAAAAAAGTATCGCTTTAAGAACTGTGTTTTCTGATGTACAGTGTTTGACAATTTTGTGTTGGGAAAACAATGGCCAAAAAAGTTCGTAATGGATTGGATATTCTCCTTGGTTTACAGGACTGTGGTATCTGTGGTGTGAGAGGCAGCAATATAAAACATGCACAATATTTCAGTTTAATACTTTTTCCTAAATCAATAGTTGCGGAAAGGGGTGGCTGGACAGTGAAAGAGTGGTAAGATAAGATCACATCAACAGGATGGCTTGCAATCTGTCAGTATATTTATTTACCCACATGGATCAAATGTGTTTTGGTCAGCTGGGTGTCTGACACGTGTAGAAACCCATCACCACACTTAGGAATATCCCAACCAGACTACCAGTTCCATGCACAAATTGGTCACTCACTCCATAGCGGTTTGTGCGACATTGCTGTCCGCAATTGGCTGCCACGTTTCACCGACAAGATATGACAAATGCAAGGATTATTATACCGTGGAAATTCCCGTGTTTGAAATGTCCATGTACAAGTGGTATGGATGGAAATTTGTCTGATTTGGATACTCTCAAGCAGTGATGGATTTCTGCATGTGTCAGATACCTGGTTGATCAAAAAAACACATTTGCTCGATTGTGGTGTAAATAAATATGCTGACAAATTGCAGAGATGAAAGTCTGACACAGTGCAAAAGAGATATGATTTTGCTGTACATAAATCTATTTGGAGTCCTCTACTTGATATTTTCAAAATGGGGTTAAAGAGAGAATCTTATATTAAAAAATTCGAATTTAGGCACTTGAAGATAGAACTCTCAAAGTATCAAGCGTTTTTTTAATTTTTTAGTTATGCCTTCAAAATATTTCCAATATTCTCTTTGCACTTTTGGTATACAACTACACCAGTTGGGTGTAGTTGTATACTACACATTACCTTTCACCCACAAAATACAGTCATTCCATTTCACAATATATCCTATGAAGTACTTTGAGATGTCTTGATGACTTGAAAGGCACTGTGTCAAATGCAAGTATTATTACTTCCAAGCACTGTTTGATCTTGAAAACAGCTTTATAATAAATAATGTGTTGTATTCTTTGTGTTGGGCATGGGGACAAATATTTCTGGATATGAATTAGTTATTATCCCTATTTTGAAAATATCAAATAAAGGAGTCCAAATAGATTTATGTAAAGTGCAATCATATCTCATTATCACAAAATCGGGCTTTCATCTTTTTAGCTCCTTGGCTAACTATAATGGAGCCTTCAACAAAGCAAGTTATAGGCCTGTAATTCTCAACGTAACATCTTAATATTATTATTATTAAGACACACACTCTCACTTGAAATGGCAAAGAAACAAATGCATTTTAATCCTTTGCTGAGGACCTGAACTATAACATAACTATCTTTTTGGACAATAGAAGCAACGGTAAGACTCCTGCAGTTCAGCTCAACGTGCGTAAAACTGAGGCCCTCTTGATTGGCTCGCGTCAGTGCCTCCGCACCTCAGGCGCTGACAGCATCAGCATCCAAGGCTGCACTCTCCACCTCTCAAAGCCAGTCAGGAACCTCGGCGTTCTGTTCGACCCTGAGCTGTCCTTTCTTCCTCATATCCGCACCACAACTGGCACCGCCTTCCATCACCTCCGAAACATCACCAGACTATGGCACTACCTCACCCCTCACGCTGCTGAAACTCTGGTCCACGCCTTTATCATCTCAAGGCTGGACTATGGGAACTCTCTCCTCGCCGGCCTTCCCGCCACCTCCCTCCACAAGCTGCAGGTCATTCAGAACTCTGCAGCTCGTGTACTGTCCCGCACCAGGCTTCGCGACCACATCACTCCCACCCTCGCTCACCTCCACTGGCTCCCCATCCCCCAGAGGATCGAATTCAAGATCCTCATCCTCACCTACAAGGCCATTCACGGCCTTGCTCCCTCCTATCTCTCCGACCTACTATCCCCCTACCTACCTGCCCGTACCCTCCGTTCCTCTGGCTCCGGTCTGCTCCACATCCCCCTCCCCAACCGCCCTACCATCGGTGGTCGGGCCTTCAGCCTCTCAGCCCCGAGGCTCTGGAACTCCATCCCCCAGTGCCTTCGCCGACTCCTCCCTTTCCTCCTTCAAGGCCGGTCTCAAGACCTTTCTCTTTGACCGTGCCTTCAGCTCCCCTCTCGACTCTCTACCCCTCCTCGGTCCCTCCCTTCCCTCCCCTCACCCTGACCATTTCCCCCCTGCTCGGGTCCCGACCCAACTGTCCAGCGCCTTGGGACGTCCTCCTGACGTGAAAGGCGCTCTATAAATGGAATCTTGTTGTTGTTGTGTCCTTTATTCTGTACAAAGATTCTTTTTACAAAAATAAAATAACACTTGCGTAGGTTTTGGTATACAGCAGTACATGTTGAACTGCACATTAACTTGGACATTCAAATACACATGTTGAGATGTTAAGCTAACATTAACTCTTGGCAAAAACAGAAGTCGCTGGGAACACTCAGCAGATCAAGAAGCATCTATGGAGAAAGGAAAGTGAGTCAACGTTTTGGGTCTTTGATCCTTCATCAGAACAATCAACATAGGTTTAACTTCCTCATCTATGCCGACAGTAACGTGGGTTCTGATGAATGGTCATGGACCTGAATCGTTGACTCACTTTCTTTTCTCCATAGATGCAGCCTGACCTGCTGAGTGTTCCCAGCGACTTCTGTTCTTGTTTCAGATTTCCAGCATCTGCAGTGTTTTTTGTTTTGATTAATTCTTGGCATTATTGGAATAACATGCATTTATGTAACACCTTTCATATGAAGGAATTTTCAACAAGTCTGTAAAAAGTATTGACAAGCAAGAGAGGTAGCAAAAGGCGGAATGGATCAAAGAAAGTTCCAGAGGACAGTGCTTGGTGGCTGAAGGCTCAGTCACTGGTAAGGTAGAGAGAGTGGGGAGCGAGTAACAGACCTAAATAGGAAGAGTGGAGGAGGTGGGCAAAGGAATAACACAGGAGAAGTTGGCATACGCAGGAGGGGATGCATTTGAAGACCAGGTCAAGAAACTTAAAATTGATCCGGTGAAATAATGGAAGTTTAGAGAGAATGGAGGGAATAAGTGTGCAGAGTCTTGTGCGACAATGAACTTGGGCTGCAGAGTTCTGGAGACAGTGATGGTTGAAAGGCAGGTGTGGAGAGTATTGGGAAAGTAGGAGGAAATCAAGGGTGAGGGATAATGCAGGAGTGGGTGAGGTAGGAATAAATCAGTAATAGTTTGGAGGTGAAAGAGGCGAGTTGATTGACAGGATGTGAAATTTGAATCCCAGCTCAGTATCAAGCAGCTCAGCAATGGTTCACTGCATTAGTTCATCCTCATTAATGAGATTCAGCTGCAGAAAATTATGGCTCGTGCAGGACTTGATGTCAGACAGGCATTCAATCATATCAGTCAGATTCCGAGAGCAGAGATGAAGAGTTGGTTACTATCGGCACAGATGTGGCAGTTAAACCTATGCCACAGAATTCTCCAGGGGCCAGGAAATAAATGAGAACAGTATGGGGGTTCAATGGTGCTCTTGTACACTAGCAAATGTGATTACTCACATGACAGAACTCTGAATAATGTACTCTCACCTTTAAATCAGCCCACTGCAATTAAATCCAAGAGCCCTTGAGTCAAGAGGAGTGGGATTAGGCCAGGGGCTTGGAAATAGAACTTAAAGCTACATTATTAATTGGAGGTGTCTGAATGAAACTGGAATAGCAGTATATACCCTTTCTGTTTACAGTTTGTATACCAAGTTCTCATATCAGATGTACATTTGTATTAAATGTTATAACTGCAGCTGGTGCTATTGCGCATATCAAGGAGGTAATACTGCACTGAAGAGTATTGGAGATGTGGGTGTCTGAGTAAGGGCAAGATCAGGCTTGGCTGTGATACTCCCACTGTCACAGTGCCCGCCAACACACACACACACACACACACTGAAGAAAGGTCACTTCACAGAGGTATCACGGCATGACAACAATCTAAGCCATACTCCAGCAGGCGAAGAGGAGGGAAACTGGTAAGGGAAAAAGCACATATCTCTGTAGGAAAAACTAACACCCTACAACATACACACTGCTATCCATTTCCACAAGAAGGAAATGTTTCAGTTACAAATATTGTAAATTAATTATAGGTTCCATAAAAAATAGCTTTTTAAATAATCCATTTCACTGGACAAACAGCCAAAATTATTTGTTTAAAATGCCGACAACTTTTTGAACTTTTCAGATAAATAATAATCTGAATCTCTATGCGTGCTCATATCCAACAGAGTCAAATAAACATGTCCATTTTTAATAGTCACAGTGTGAGTCCTTTGTTTCACTCCTTTGGAGACCCAAGGAGTGGGTGCGATGGGGTTTTTGGGGTCCACTGATTGATAAAGACCTTTTCCTTCAGACAAAGTGATTTTGTACTTGTGCCATGGGCAGACAATACATGGCTCCCCATTAATATCCTAAACAGAGAAAGATAAAGGGCCTAAGGTTCAATACATAAAAAGGCCAACCATTTATCTGGGGTGTAAGAAAATACAGTGGAGAACAGAGTTTGAGATCATAAAATCTGTGTGCAGTTCCTAACCTAAAAGAAAATATGGCACACATCCAGGTCAGCACAATTTCACTTCCTCTTTTATGTGCAGCCTCCTCAGCTTCCGCTGCCCCGAGCTCAGACTCCCAGTGAATTGTGTGATGTGCTTTGAAACATCCCCCAAGGTAAAACGTTATATAAATTGCTGTCAGTCAATATCAACATCAACTACTCCCACTTCAGCTTAACCAGATAGAGTAAAGCTTTCTCTTCTCCAGCTGAAACAGAACAGTGGGTATTTTCCACTGGATAGTATTTTTACTAACATTTGGGGTATTGCCCTGTGCTAATTTTGTCATTGTCTGTATATTTACCAGCAAACAAATCTCACTTTGTTTTTGAACTAAATTCAAAAAGCCTCCAAAACACCTTTTCCTGCTTCCCAAACAAATTGTCCTTCTCACCTGAGTGAACTTGCATAATTGCACCAAATTAGGAGCACTTTGGAGCTACGGAGTCCTGTAGCTCGGTGGTTAGAGCACTTGCTTTGCAAGCGAGAGACCTGAGTTCAATTCCAGGCAGGGCGAAACCTTGGGCAAGTTTCCTTACTCCACACACCTAATAATAATCCCTCCAAAACCGAAAACAATAATAAATTGGTCATTTTCAATCTACGACTGTTTGTGGGACATTGCTGTGCCCAATTGGCTGCCGCGTTCGCCCACAAATATACAATCAATTCACTTTACGGTGTGTTCTGTGAAGCGCTTTGGGACGTCCTCCCGACGTGAAAAGCGCTATATCAAATGCAAGGATTATTATTATTATTATTATGACTACATGACCACCAAGAACTAGATTGAGATGGTCCAATCCCATCTCATGTAGGACCATAACAGAACTAAAGAAAGGAGGACAGGAGAAGATCACCATGTTAAGTCCAGGCCCCAGCAGTGCTGCAACATGGCTAAATAGCAACTCTGTGCAAAATCAGATATTTCTATTAACAAATTTACCTCAATTTCTCCAAGGTGTAAAGGTCCTCCTGCATCTGGGGAGAAAATCATATGCAATTATTACTTTTTTCAGCCATTTTTTCAGGGTTGGGTGGGTGGTAGGAGATAAGCAGGGTCTCCAAGGAGCTGAGTTGGCTTCAAGGTGATGTACTTGGCAAGTAAATGTAAGAATCGAGTCAATCCTCTGTTGCAGTCTTGACAGTCCTCTTACTGAGCCAGGCAGGTCCACAGTATTCTAGGGCATTGCTGATGATAGACCAGCCAGACTGGCTCTTTGACAGAACTTGGAGGGACAGAGCAGCTACTGGGGGCAGGAGATTCTCCCACTCAGCTCCTTTTAACCCTAAAACCAAAGTATTACTAGGTAGGGTGGTCCTAGCTTTCCAGGCAATGGGAAGCTTGCTAAACAGTGTTCTCCATGGCAAGCTATGCAGCTTTAGCTAATTAAACTCTAGCAGTACCCCAATGTACATTCTGTGGTTCCCAAGTCTTTGTTCTTGGGAGTCCTGTAGCTCAGTGGACCTGGGTTTGATTACTTACTCCACATGCCACTGTTTACCTAGCAGTAAGTAGGAACCCAATTGTTTGTCAATTGGTGGATCGCTTTTCCGAGAGTAATAATCGCTTTTTAAAAAAAACGTTGATAATAATTTGGTCACTCAATCCACGTCTATTTGTGGGATACTGCTGCCCGCAATTGGTTCAAGTTAGGCCACGGGCACTGGGCGAAGTCGATTTTCTGCTTGTGCCGCTTCCACAATTCAAACACTCTCCGCGCTGCGCATGCGTGACCGGAGCCCACTCCACCCACAGCAGCAGCGTCGAGCAGCCTATCTTTTAACATTGACAATGAAAGATACTGTGAAAGTGTGCTCGCAATTGTTAGGTGGCTGGATTACCGAGGTGACCTCAAACCAGATTTCTACTATATCAACATGGGAGACCTCAGTGATCTGATCACCTTGCCAATCATATAATCCCATTCCTCCCCCATAAAAACAATACACTACATGCAGTAACTGAAAGTACATCATTTACTAAACTACACAGATAATAAGCAAATATATTAGATCCTGTAACTTTAATGATCTGCATTTTTGAATCGGGGGCATGATTTGAAAGAGTTTTCCTGTGCTATAATACTACCTTATCCATTAACACAAAGCATATGAAGCAATAATTTCTCTGCACAAACATCCTTCACAAAAGCAATGGATGCCAATATTGGAAACAGAAGTGTATTATGTGTGTGGTTGTGTGAGAGAGGGAGAGAACCTTAAACAAAAACTTCCTTGTTCCTAGATGTCACCACACTTTGCAGTTTAGACAGTACATTTATATGTAAAGATGTGAGGATTGATCTAAGTGGCAACATTTCAGATGCTTTCTAATCCAGTCTGGCAGAAGTTATCCTAAAATGTAGCTATCAACTAAGATAATGGTCCTGGAGCATTTCAACCATTTCTCTGAAGTGACCACAAGACAACCCTATTATAACGCAGTTGTTTGGGTCCAGAAATTCAAAACCATGTTATATACATGCTAAAAAATGACCATCTTTCAAGTTGTCAGGTTGCCAATGCCATTGCTTCCTGCATGTTGGATGTGCAGCCATGCATGCTATGTGCATGAAGCATTGCTGACATCAATTCTTGCACATTTCACATGTGCAATGCACAGGAAGCACGCTGGGATTCTATCCTGCTTGAAGGGCACTGTATAACAACAACATCAACAACAAGATTCCATTTATAGAGCGTCTTTCACGTCGGGAGGACGTCCCAAGGCGCTGTGCAGTTGGGTCAGGACCCGAGCAGGGGGGAAATGGTCAGGGGGAGGGAAGGGAGGGAGCGAGGAGGGGGTAAAGAGTCGAGAGGGGAGCTGAAGGCACGGTCAAAGAGAAAGGTCTTGAGACAGGCCTTGCAGGAGGAAATGCAAGTTGTTGTTGCTATCTTTGTTAATTTATGACATCAGTGTTTCCTGCCTATATTGAGCAAGAAGCAGTGACCTAATGACCCAAAAGCCACCCATTTTCTAGCAGCTGGAGCCAGGTGTCCAATGCTGGTCCATCGTACATTGTAAGTGGACCCATGTTATACTAGGATGCATTTTGACAGGGATGCCCTGTAGTTGATGTTACCTCAACTGCTGTCACTACTTACGATAACAGCGCAAGTCCATTGCATAAAAATTCCCACTATGATAGAAAATTGCAACTTCTCTGCCGTCAACAACAGTTGTTAGCCTTTTACATTGCTTGAGATCTTTCTCACTTCCTACACAAACTGAAGAGTCAGCCACTGAAGAAGAAGCCATATCGACACCCTGATAAAAAAAGATATAGTAGGTGTTAGGATCAGTAAACTCCTCAGATGAACACACGTTTTGATATGTTAGATATCTGATTATGCATATTAATTAGCAAATGGAACCAGCCCCATTGTGGATATGCAATCAATGCAGATAATTGGATATCATTCAAATATAAATTGACTATAGTGCTAATTAAAATATTACAAATACAGTCACAACACTTTACAGCATTTCTCGTAGAGTGCTTTGTGACGTCTTGACAATGTGATAAGGTGCCGTACCAAAATACAAGGATTATATTATTGCATTAGATGCCATACTGTAGTTGGATACCCTGCCAATCCTCATCTTTTCTGGTTCTCTTTCTCTCACTCTGTGTCTCTCGAGAATTCTCTAAGTTTCTGTCCCTTTCTGCAATTTTGTTTTCTACCTCTTTCTCTACACTATATAAAAGACATACTTTTTCACAACTTCAAAAGATCCAGTTGTGCAGTTACTTTAGAATCTTACTATACATTTAATTGTATCCTTATTAACCTCACACACAATTAAAATCAGTGTATTTTTCCTCTGGAGAAGGTGATCTTATTCCCAGTGCCTTGGGACTTCCTCCCGACGTGAAAAGGCGCTATACAAATGTAATGTTGTTGTTGTTGTCGTTGCGATGCAACTGGCATTCAGAATTATCGCGTAAGATCTCTCTACAATGTAATAATCCTTGCCTTTGACATAGCGCCTTATTACATTTAAAACAGTATAGTGATCAGCTTAGGATTTCTTATTTAAAGATGCATTTTGAATGAATACTATGATGAACTTTTCTGTCAAAACCTATCTATTTTATATATATTAAAAAAAATCTGACTCACTGAGTTTCTGGTATTAGCTTCTGCTGTCTCTAAACTTAACACTAGGTGCTGCTGTAACTAACGGATTAATCAGAATACNTTTTTTAGCTGTTGCATTCAAACAACTTGGAAAAAGAGCAGGATCTGAGTTGTGCACATCAAACTTACTTAGAATTTCCTCATTCAAAGAAATATTTCAGGTCTAGGCTTTATTCTCGAGTATCCCAGGGAAACGTACCCTCCTGCATCTATGCTGGAAACATCAGAGATCCAAGATCAGGTTGTGCCCACGCACAATCCAACAAAACCGATATTTACTAAAATATTGGTTTCAAGAAGCATCAATTTTAAAGGTTAAAAATTACAACAGGCAAAAGTCTGAACATACAGTCCCTAATATCATTAATTAGGAGTAATGATCACTCGTTTGACTAGGGAGAAAATATAATAATCCTTGCATTTGATATGAAACCAGTGTCCAATGGTTGTAACTCCTGCTTTATCTGCTTGCCATAGTTCCTTACATTATAATTATTATTATTATTATTATTATTATGCCAGTCCAAACATTTGCCTGATTAACAACAATAAAATTACATTTGTAGAGTGCCTTTCACGTCGGGAGGATGTCCCAACACTGTATAACAACAACAACAAGATTCCATTTATAAAGCGCCTTTCACGTCAGGAGGACGTCCCAAGGCGCTGCACAGTTGGGTCATGACCCGAGCAGGGGGGAAATGGTCAGGGTGAGGGGAGGGAAGGGAGGGAGCGAGGAGGGGGAAGAGAGTCGAGAGGGGAGCTGAAGGCACGGTCAAAGAGAAAGGTCTTGAGACCGGCCTTGAAGGAGGAAAGGGAGGAGGCGGCGAAGGCACTGGGGGAATGGAGTTCCAGAGCCTCGGGGCTGAGAGGCTGAAGGCCCGACCACCGATGGTAGGGCGATTGGGGCGGGGGATGTGGAGCAGACTGGAGCCAGAGGAACGGAGGGTACGGGCAGGTAGGTAGGGGGATAGTAGGTCGGAGAGGTAGGAGGGAGCGAGGCCGTGAATGGCCTTGTAGGTGAGGATGAGGATCTTGAATTCGATCCTCTGGGGGATGGGGAGCCAGTGGAGGCGAGCGAGGGTGGGAGTGATGTGGTCCCGAAGCCTGGTGCGGGACATTACACGAGCCGCAGAGTTCTGAATGACCTGCAGTGTGGAGGGAGGTGGCGGGAAGGCCGGCGAGGAGAGGGTTCCCATAGTCCAGCCTTGAGGTGATAAAGGCGTGGACCAGGGTTTCAGCAGAGTGAGGGGTGAGGTAGTGCCGTAGTCTGGCGATGTTCCGGAGGTGATGGAAGGCGGTGCCAGTTGTGGTGCGGATGTGAGGGAGAAAGGACAGCTCAGGGTTCCTGACTGCCTTTGAGAGGTGGCGGCGCCTGAGGTGCATTCAGCCGCTGTGCCGAGGGTCTGGAGTGTCTGGCCCGTCTTCAAGTCACACCTGAAGACTTTCCTCTTTGCCTTCAGTCGCTGCCTCTCTTTCCAGCTCACAGTCAGACCACACAGCTGGTGGGTGCTCCTCCAGGCTGTCTGTGTAAAGACGGCCTTGTGAATGCAAGTTGTTGACATTGATGGTAAATCGTCTAGTTTTTATTGGGACAAAAAAAGAAGTCCCGGATCACTGTGCTGGACTCTCCTGCCAACCAGACGCCAGAGGGACACTGCAGCCCAGCAATGGGATCATGTAACCGGGGGGGAGTGGGTTTCGCCCGCTGGCTTCACGTGACGCAGGAGCAGCCATCAGATGGCTGGAGGGGGGCTGTGATCACGTGACTCGAAGGGTGGGCGCGGGGGTGACCGTGACTGTCGTCACGTGACTGTATAACGTCCGCAGTCTCCATGACATATGGGTCCTGTTCCGTCACCCAGCCCGGGCGGACCGTGCGCTGTTTGAAAGCAGCTACTGAGACTCGAGCGCGAGGAGACGGGGACAAGTGCAGCAGCGCCCGGGGCTCGCGGCACCCTCCTCACCCTCTTGGACAGGCATCTCCAGTGCTGCACCGGCGCCGTTTAAAATACACGGGCAAAGGAGGGCAGGAAAAATAGTCACCGTTGTTTCCTTTTTTTTCCCCCAATAACCTTGCTCAGGCTTGTGACCTTTCATTCACTCAGTCACACCCACTCTCACAGCTCAAGCCATCAGTTTCCAGGAATGTAGAGGGATTGAGACATTGAGCTGCATTGACCCCCGCCCCCCCCATTAATTACGGTCATTGACTGGTGGCAACTCTATTGCAAATTCAGAATCAAAGTCACAATAATACTAATAATAATCCTTGCATTTGATACAGAGCCTTATCACGTCTTCCAGATGTCTCAAAGCGCTTCACAGAATATACTGTAAAGTGAATTGACCGTATATTTGTGGGCGAAACACGGCAGCCAATTGTGCACTGCAGAGTCCCACAAACAGTCGTGGATTGCGGTGACCAAATTATTATTTTTTTGAGGAATTATTACTCCCGGAAAAGTGATCTGCCAATTAACTAACAACCGGATTCCTACTTACTGCTGGTAAACAGGCGTGTGGAGTAAGGAAACTTGCCCAACATTTCGCCCTACCGGGATCGAATCCAGGTCTCTCGCTTGCAAGGCAAGTGCTCTAACTTCTGAGCTATAGGAGTCAGTCCACAATATACAGTATATATTTATATATAATAATCCTTGCATTCAATATGTAAACATATACATGATGTACATTTGCTTGTATTGTGAGAGTGTCAGCAAGTTTTATTGCCTTTTCACATCTTGCCACTTGTCTCAAAGCGCTTCACAGAATGTACTGTAAAGGGTATTGAGTATATTTTGTGGGAGAAACGCGGCAGCTAATTGTGCACAGCAGTGTCCACAAACAAGCAAGTAGCGTCGTATATTTTATTTTGTGAAAAGGAAAATATAGTTATAGTATTTAAATGAAAAGCTCTGCTTAATTTGCAGCTTTGCCTGGTTGTCAGGGTCACATCACATTTATAAATTCGGAAATCCTAATTTACTCTATACCAGCATCATCCAATAGAAATCGTTGATTACAACAACAGCTTACATTTGTGTAGCGCCCTTCATGCAGAGCAGCATCTCAGAGTGGTTAAAGTCAAAGGTTTGGCTACGGTGACACCATTTCAGCCATGTGCTCTAATTTTAGTGGAGAACGCTTTACATACACTCACACAATACAGGTAAATGTATTTCACATGTATGTTTACATGGATATTTAATTAACAGACATCTACCACCATTCAATGCAAAACATTGCAGTCATTCCCCTTCATTTTTCTTTCTCAAGAAATGCCAGATCCACCCCTACTCTCCATCCATGCTTGGGATGTTGGATGCTGTTTGCCCTTTGCCATGATGTGCCCTGGAGGTGTTGGAGGTGCTCATTATTCCCTGGGCTTCCTTTCTCTGCTGGTCTGTAATTTCACCACATCTGGACTCCCAATTTGCCACATGTGGCTAGTGGCTAAGCTATTGGATATGCTTGATCTATAAACTATAAACATACAGAGATAGTTTTTTTTAGTAATTTTACCATTAAATATGCAAATTATTAATTAAAGCTTTGTGATTAATTGTACTGAGACAGCATTAGTTCTGAGCTCAATCACCACAAATAAAAAAATGGAAATTAATAACAGGCAATCAGCATTTGAAAGGATAGCGTTTGGGGTAAGACAGCTCATCAAAATTCAATGCTGAATGCTCCCCAATATAATTAATTGATCAGTTCATCTACTTAAATCCAAATAGATGACACAGTTACAATACAACAACAACCTGCATTTATATAGCTCCCCTCGCGCAGGGTAGCATCTTGGAGTGCATTTTTCCCATGGCATTATTTACGTTTAGTACAGAAATAGGATTGTGTTATATAAATCTAAAAAATGTTATTAGTTTGGGTTCATTTTACAGGTCGCTCAGCTTTTGATATTAGTCTAATATAAGTGAACCCTTTCCCTAATGTCAGCAGGAGCTAGACAAACCAGACACATTTATAATAATTATAGCTCTCATCTGAAGTAACTTGCAGTTATGGTGAAAAACTAATCACACTGCAGTGGATATTTGATTGTGTATTCATTAACTCAGACTCCACATAACTCCATCCAAGAGCTGTCATCTCAGGCCTCAGCGTTTCCTCATCAATTATTCGATGGACATCTGACTTCAGCATGGAGGGAGACCTATAATATAATAAATAATAATAATTCTTGCATTTGACACAGCACCTGTCACATCATTCAGACATCTCAAAGTGCTTCACAGAATATATATAAATATATAATATATAAAGTGGATTGACTGTATTAGTGGGTGAAACGTGGCAGCCAATTACGAACAGCAGATACAGGGCAACCTGTAATGTGCCAGTCACCTTAATATTCTAGTGACCCAAGTCCAATGTCATGTACCATATTGGCTTAACACCAACTACTTAAAACAGGTCCTCATGTGATGGAGTTCAGCAAAGAGACATGTCAACAACAAAGCTAACTCCACCTCAAGACTGCTGAGTGACAATTCAGTACAGACTGGAGTCCTATTTCACATCTACATTTCATTTTTAAAACAAATCTACCTTGTTGCCTTAGTCTGCATGATGTGGACCACATTTTATGCACCACAAGTTTAATCTCATATCAATTCTAGGGATTGTGGTGGACACCAACTTTTGTTTGGACACTGTTCTTTGGGATTATGTTGAGAAGAGGTAAAAGGCACTCTAACTGTTCTCGTCTCTCTTCTATGGTAGTTCAAAATTATAATATAGTTCGAGAGCATAATGGTGAAAGATTATTTCCATAGGCTGATGAATTGATCATAAAATATAATAAAGTAGAGATCATTACTAGAAGATTTATTTTACAAAACAGTTGATTAGGATGTGGAACTTGTTACCACTAGTGGCTATTGAAACAGTCAATTATATTTAATAGGAAATTAAGTAAATACATACAAAATGACCACATATAAAATGGATTCCAGAAAGAGAAGGTTAACGGATTTAGAAACCTCCAATGAAAATAAATGTACCACAAACCACAAAGGAAAACTTGCAGGGAGTTCCTGGTAGCTAGCATTCACCTAGTGACGGCTGAAACCTGTGCTTGTCAAATGTCGAACAACCAACTAGTTACTATACTCCTTGGGGGCAGGGGGAGGAGGAAAGTGGGGTCTCCTTGGAGCTGAGCTGGCTCCAAAGTGACATGTTTGGCAATGGAATAATGGAGTCGAGCCAACCCTCTGTCGGTCTCAGTAGTCCAGTTTCTGAGAGATGGGTCTGCAGTATTCCAGGGCACTGCTGATGACTGCATAGCATCCGGCTCATCAGCAGAACTTGGCAGGACAGACCAGTCATTGGGGGCAAGGAGGGTTCCCACTCAGCTCCTGCAAGCCAAAGCCCTAACAGATAGGGTGGTCCTAGCTGGACAAGCAATGGGAAAGCTTGCCAAACAGTGATAGCAATGGCAAACTATGTGGTTTAGCTGCTTAGCCCCCTTCAGTACCACAACGCACAGTCTGTGGTCCCCAAGTGGCTCTTACCACACCCCCTCACCCCCCTCCAGGGAGACAATGTGCAGTCCATTCCAACAATTTATCTTAATAAATCATTCTCTTAAATTATCGTGAGACTGAACAATATTATGCCCAATAGATTTATAAGGACCTGATTGACTTCATACAGGAGAAACTTAGCTAATAGTTCAGGATAGAAAAAACATAAAATACATGCCTGTCCTGAAGCTCACTCCCTTTGATTGTCTTCAGCTCAGCTCAAGTATTGACTCTCCAACCTTTTATACGTTACTTGGTTATCATAGTATGGATGGCTCTTGCATATGTACTCTTTATGTCACATATGCATTGATCTTTTAACAAAATGTCTTGTGTCTGTTTCCTGTTTTTCCCCCAAATCTTACCAAATTAAGTCATCCCATCATTTTAGTTCTGTATTTTCAGCAGTCTGTAGAGTTCCTTATGTCTAGTGATTAGTTCTGCAAATCAACAGCTGGTATCAGATAAACATTCCCACCCTTCCCTAGAATGGTTAATGACCATTCTGTGAAAAATTTTGGACCACACGGACCAGGGTTTTATTAGTATTCTGAAGCTAAATATATTAATCCTTTTAATTCCTTCTCAATTTACATTCAAACAGTAGGTGGGATGCATGGAATTCTCGTTGTGATTTGAAAAGCATGGTAATGGGTTTTCACATGTCAGACACCCGGCTGACCAAAAAAGGCACAATGGACCGAGCCAATCCCTCTGTGCTGATGTTTCTATAATGTATTTCTCAAATGTATATTGTACCAGAGTGCAGGAAAGCTGAATTTCAGGTAGGTTGTTGAAAATAATAAACCATCTCACATGAAAGGTATTGTTTTTTCAGTTTTTGAAATTATCAAAAGGACATTCTGCACATGCATGTACATACATATATTTATATACTTTTTAAACCCCCAAAAATTTATATACATACAGTACATTTATATATTTAAAAGGTCACAACCTGGCAACCTGCCCATACCTGATTGGCTTTCGCTTTTATACAATAAGGTTCAGACTTGATTTCCATTTTAAATTGAATTTATTTAGTAAAAATCCAGTGAGAATTGTATTTTATTACTCATACATCTAGATGCCATACAATTGTGTTTTGTTTAAATACAGCTACATAATTATTCTGGATAATATCTTTCTGTACACACACCAAGCTTCATATAAGTGGAGTCCTACAGCTCAGTGGTTAGAGCACTCATTTTGCAAGCGACAGACCTGAGTTCAATTCCAGGCAGAGGGCGAAACCTTGGGCAAGTTTCCTTACTCCACACAGAGCCTAATAATAATCCCTCCAAAACCAAAAACAATAATAAATTGGTCATTTTCAATCTACGACTGTTTGTGGGACATTGCTGTGCGCAATTGGCTGCCGCGTTTGCCCACAAATATACAGTCAATTCACTTTACAGTCTATTCTGTGAAGCGCTTTGGGACGTCCTCCCGACGTGAAAAGCGCTATACCAAATGCAAGGATTATTATTATTATTATTAAGTTGGACCAAGATGAGTCTAACCTTTTAAGTTTTGCCCACAAAATATACAGTTAATGCACTTTATAGTATATTCTGTGAAGTGCTTTGAGACGTCTTGAAGGCGTGATAAGGCGCGATATCAAATTACAATGTACATCTGGAAATGCCACCTGGGCAGCTGCCCGAACGTGTTCAGGCATTTCTCTCCTTCCTCGTTTACTGTCACTTTGAAGACGAAGGCTTGAGGGATGGAAAGCATAAAGGCGCAGATCCAGGCTGTGGCAGCTAAGGTCTTGGTAGGTAGGGGGGAGTGCAGGGGGTTAACTATCACATGGTGTCTTTCCATTATTATCCATTGTTATTAAGTCAGACCACCTATTTAATCAGTTCATATCCAAAGATGGATAGTTATTTCATTACAGCTACAGCTTAAGGAGTCAATAGTGTTTTGGGGAGAAAGATTAAACGAAGAACGTTTGTTTTTGTGATTGAACTGAGACGATCGTAGACAGAAAGGCTGATGTCCTCAGTGCGCAGACATCAGAGGGTTCTCCCTCTGTAAGGCTTTGGGCTGTTGACACTCTGACTGTCGTCAGATGACGCGGATCATATCTATATAAGCACAGACATCAAGGCTCAGTCTGAACAGTCAGAGAAAAGGTGAGCATCGGATTCTGCCCTATAACCAATCTCCAGCCTTTCACAAGCAGGTAAATCGATTTACCTTTTTCTGTGCCATGGAAAGCCTGATGACCTTGGAGAGTTTCGTGCAGAGAAACTTTTCCCCTGCTCTGGATGCCTGTTGCAAGGATTCGGCTGGCAATGCCAGCAGCATCTCACCGCCACCACTGTACAACAGGCAGATCCGCCTCACCTCCATGGCTCTGATTTTCGCCCTGGCTCTGGTGGGCAATCTGGCTGTGCTCCACAGGATCTGCTGCAGCAAACGCAAGAGACGAAAGATCGATTTCCTCATCACTAACCTGGCAGTGGCGGACCTCTGCGTCTCTGTCATGACTCTGCTCTCCCAGATCATCTGGGAGGCGCTGGAGGACAGCTGGTTGGCTGGAAACCTGGCCTGCAGGTGCTTCAAAGTTTTCCAAGTCTTTGGACTCATTGCTTCTTCCAGCATCATAGCGATTATCGCTTTGGAAAGACACCATGTGATAGTTAACCCCCTGCACTCCCCCCTACCTACCAAGACCTTAGCTGCCACAGCCTGGATCTGCGCCTTTATGCTTTCCATCCCTCAAGCCTTCGTCTTCAAAGTGACAGTAAACGAGGAAGGAGAGAAATGCCTGAACACGTTCGGGCAGCTGCCCAGGTGGCATTTCCAGATGTACATCATATACGGCGCCATCACAGTCTTCTTCATTCCCTTTTGCATCCTGTGTGTCGCCTACACCAGGATCCTCTGGACCATCTGGAGGAAAGAGCGGCACATGGAAAGTTTCAAAGCCACGAAAAACGTGGACCCAAAGCAACAGAGGAGACCCATCCGCATCATCGCTGCCAACAGCTCCATTCCCAGAGCGAGAGTGAAGACGCTGAAGATGACACTGGTGATTATTATGCTCTTTACTGTCTGCGGTTTGCCCTACTTTATCATAGAAATGAAAGTGGCTTTCGGGAGCTTCACTGAAGCTGACGCCCAGTTGCTCGCGGTGTTGGGCATCTTCGTGGTGTCCAACAGCGCCGTCAACCCTTACGTCTACTTGTTCTTCAAGACCAATAACATCTACATGAGGCGCCTGGAGAAGAGCGCCTGTTTCTCCTGTCTGAGGGATTACAGGGAGAACACATTCCGCAGGGAGCCGTGTGCCTATCCCGCCGGGAAGCGCGGGGAACACTCCAGCACCACCACCTCAGACATCATCCACTCGGTGTCCTTTTACAAATCTCCATCTCCTACCAACGAGACGGGGTCTTGTGACAGCTCCATCTGACCAGCACTCACTCACACACTCACACTCACTCACTCACACACTCACACACTCACTCACACTCACACACACACACTTACACTCACTCACTCACTCACACTCACACACACACTCACTCACACACTCACACTCACACACACACACACACACACACACTCACACACACACTCACACACTCACACACACACACTCACTCACACACGCACACACACACACACACACTCACACACACTCACACACACACTCACTCACACACGCACTCACACACGCACTCACACACACACTCACACACGCACTCACACACTCACACACACTCACACACACACACACTCACTCGCTCACACTCACACGCTCACACACACACGCTCACACACATACGCTCACACACACACACGCTCACACACACTCACACTCATACACACTCACACACACACACACACACACTCACACACACACACACTCTCACACACACACACTCACACTCACTCACTCACACACACTCACACTCACACACTCACACACACTCATACATACACTCACACTCATACACACACTCACACACTCACACTCACTCACACACTCACACTCACTCACACACTCACACACTCACACTCACTCACTCACACACTCACTCACACACTCACACACTCTCACACACACACACACTCATACACACACTCACACTCACACACACTCACACACAGCCCTCGGCACCGACTGATTGTGGCATCTTACCATTTCACCCCCAGATCTGACTCCCCCACAGCTCCCGGGGCAGCAGCAGCACCTCCGGCATTGCAACCAGAGCGACTCTGCTCTCGAACGCCTTCGATCTCGATTGCTGTGTAACGACTGAACTAATCCATTGTAATTATACCGTTATAATGTTTAGACTCCTCATCAAACGTTTCCTCTGCAAACCGAAATTCGCAGAGCGAGGCAAAGCCACCAATCGAGTCCAAAGGGCGGATCGCGACAGGTCAGCGCTTTGTGGCAGTAAAAAGTTATTTTTCACCGAAAATAACCAATCCTTGGAAACTCGGTGCAGATCCTTCAGTTCAGGTTCATATCAGTATAAGTGAAGTGGGCTGTGTTGGGTGGTACCGACTGTGTTGTCAGAAATTCAAGGCAATCATATATTTGATTGATTAATGAATGAATGAATGAATGAATTAGTTTAATTAATTAACGTCTGTATGTATTTACCCATTCCAACTCACTGGGATTTTGGCTGAACCATAAGAAACCATTAAATCAAAAACGATCCATTCTTACCTGTTCCTTCCAACCAACCCTTTGCCTGGAGCTCTCAAGGTCTCCAACCAACCTATTCACTAAACTGAAATCCTAACTCATTCTGCTCAGGAAGCTGGTTTGTTTAATTGTCTACGTTAATTCAAATGTTCGTTCAGCAAAATGCTGAGGAAAATGACAATAACTAAAGTTTTTAAGGTGATAAGTAAAGTCATTTCACTGTATTCTCTATGGGAGGGTTCATAGATTGGGATACATTTTAAAATCAGAACTCTTCCAATTCCATTTTGTTAGACATTTCTTTTTTTCTGGGGTTCCCTCTGTATGACATTTCACGATAGATTGACCGTGCCTTCAGCTCCCCTCTCGCCTCTCTACCCCCTCCTCGCTCCCTCCCTTCCCTCCCCTCACCCTGACCATTTCCCCCCAAAGCTCGGGTCCTGACCCAACTGTACAGCGCCTTGGGACGTCCTCCCGACGTGAAAGGCGCTCTATAAATGGAATCTTGTTGTTGTTGTTGTTCTCTTAATGGGAAAGTATTACTGTATTATAAAGTGGTTCGGATCCAATTTCTGGTTGGCACAGAGACTGTGATTGGGAACCCATTATAGAAAGAAAATCTTGTGTGGTTAGAGTAATTTAATAGTTGACATGTCTGAATATTGTTTTACATTCTGAACCTTCAAGCGTAGTGATTGTTCTTATAGTCAGATGCAGCAGACCTTTTGCCCACAAAAATACATGATCAATTTACCTGGAGACTAGGACACTGGGAGAAACTGAAGGTGCAAACCTATATGCAACATTTTTAAATTTGTAGTTAAAAAATATCTACATAAACTTATTTATTCAGAACAATGTGCTGTGAATGGGATAATTAATAGTTAAACATCAAAATGGGAGCTAACATTCCACTTACTATTAAATACCACTAACTTTGAGGCCACACTCGCCTCTTTGCTAGCCTGTAGAGTATTTCGATAAAATGTTTGAATTTGTAACCGTTAAAAGCTGCTGAGCCAATTCCTGAGTCAAGGTGTTAGTTGCCCTGTGGATGGATCTTAAACATTTTAGTTTTCACTGTAAATTTATTTGGTGGAGAAGGAAACAAATACATCAGTTAATGTGGCTTCTTATTCTCCACCCCTGCCCCCAGCCAGCTGCTCCATCTATAGCTATCAAAATATATAAGTGTGGTCTGCATTTATTAAAGAAAACTGATTTTGTTTAAAAAATGATTGTGTCACAGGAAGTAATGACCAATGCTGCTCAAACATTTTAATCTTGATTCAGTCTGCTAGATTTGGTCTTAAACTGGGATATTCATAATTGCAGCTCGCAACAATGTTTTTATATTCAAATGTTTGATCTGAACTGGGATTTGATCATAATCAATACTGGTTTTAAATAGGTTTTATTGTATTGTTTCAGTACACTGTTCAGAGTTGTGTGTACATATGATCATTGAGGTGTTTAAACCTCTCTTGTGTTTCTGAAAGTCTATAATGTATTCAGTGTTTTGTAGAAATTGTAGTATTTATACGTAATATGTTTTGTTAATAAATATACAAATTCTTAAAAGGATACAGATGTGTTTTCTGTAGTACGACTAAAAGCTTCTAATTTTTTAAAATGTAAAACATTTTAAGAATTTAACATATTAAGCATTTTCTCTAAGATCCCTTCAGTATCTCTCAGTACCTTTCAACAACCCCAGTCACACATCTCAAAGCATGAAATCAACTCAACATTGATTCAACCTTTGTTTGTCCTTATTCTATGGCAAAGTGCCTGTTCTGAACAGCAGCTTAAACCTTACCAGGATTTGTGAACTGCCACAACCTCATTTCAGACCCATCCTTAGTCCAGGCATACAGATGTTCTGTTCTCATTTTCATTTATATAGTGACCTTCACATGGGGAGTGTCTCGAAGCACGTAACAGTAGAGTGGCTTGACACCGAGCGGGAAAGGGTGGGGAGATGACCTAAGACATGGTTAAAGAGGAAAGGCTGATTTGAAGATGGGAGAAAAACAGAGGTGTTAAGGCTGGTTGTTCCAGAGATTGGGGCATAGTGGCTGAAAGCACAGCTGCCAATTTTGGAGCTGTGGAGATGAGAGACATGCAGAAGACTCTTGGCAGCTGAGTGAAGGTGGTGGGTAGAGGAGTGGCATGTGAGCAGATCAGAGAGGCAGGGAGGTGCCATGGTGTGAACAGTTTTGAAAGTGAGAGTGAGGATCTTGATATAGATCCATTCAAAAACTGGAGTGATGGGGGTGCGGAGCTTGGTAGAGCGAGGATATGGGCGGCAGAGTTTTGAATCATTTGGACCTTGTAAATAGTAGAGCTGGAGAGACCGTCAATGAGCGCATTGGAAAAAGTTGAGGCGGGAGGTAACAAAAACATGAATCAGAGTTTCAGCAGTGTTTGAAGTAAGTTAGGGGTGAAGGTGGGTGATGTGGCGGAGGTGGAGGAAGACAGTCTTAGTCAGGGACTGGATGTGGTGTAGGAGAAATAACTGGGGATTGAACTTGGTGTCTTAAAAATATACATTAATTTACAAATCAATCCTAACATTTCATATGCATATTAATACTTGCTTTATGGAAGTACAATAATTCAAATACAGCTTAGTGACAACTTTGAACTTACCGTGTACATAATTTTACAGAAATACAGCAACTTTACACTCTTGTGACTTATTTTATGGAACCACAAATATATGTGGACCGGAAACGAATAGTGTACATTGTAAATTCTGTTTCCATTTTAGTATACAATAATTAATATTAAAGGCATATAAAAAAGATTGATATGTGAAGAGGGTTGAGTGAAGTACTATAGGGAGGTCTACAAATATGGTGTTATGAATGAAGATAAGCCCGAAGAATTTGACTTGTTTTCAGTGGAGAGGAGCACAATCCAGGTCTTAGAAATGCGATGAGATAGAGATAATGTTGATGCAACTAATTTAATCAACTTAAATTTTTTTATGTAGAACTAGACGACATTTGTGGAGTCCTGTAGCTTAGTGATTAGAGCACTCGCTTTGCAAGCGAGAGGACCTGGGTTTAATTCCCCAGCAGGGCGAAACGTTGGGCAAGTTTCCTTACTCCACACGCCTGTTTACCTAGCAGTAAGTAGGAACCCAGTTGTTAGTCGCTTTTCTAGGTGTAATAATTCCCTAAAAAAAAAAATAATTTGGTCACTCAATCCATGACTGTTTATGGGACACTGCTGAGTGCAATTGGTGCTGCGTTTTGCCCACAAAATATACAGTAATTTTACTGTAAGCGCTTTGAGACACGATAAGGCACTATATCAAATGTTAGAATTATTATTATTAGTCAAAACCAGCAAGTCAAGTAAGATTAGAAATAGGACGTGTTATTGAAACTATCTATTTCTTGGTTCAATTCCACCTGTATTTCTGCCAACTTATAAAATGTTGCCTGTTTCAATACATGTTTTAATCAGTTTCTGAAGTCAGTCAACATTATCTTGGTTTATGTCTGTACTGATGATTCAGCACAGCCTGGCTCATCAGCAGGAACTGGAAGGGCAGACCAGTCACTGGGGGCAGGGAGTCATCCCACTCAGCTCTTGTTAACCCTGCAAGCCAAAGTCCTAATGGGTAGGGTGACCCTAGCTGGACAAGCAGCAGGAAAGCTTGCCCAACAGCGATATCAATGGCAAGCTATGTGTTTTTAGCTGGTTGGACTCTAGCACTACCCCAACGCACACTCTGGGGTCCCCAAACCTTGGCTCTTGCCTAATAATCTCCAGAATGA